AGCCCTTCTGTCAAGAGGTCAAGACCTTGTTTTCATGAGCGCCTTCTTGGAAGCCAGACAAGCTAGCTAAGGCGGCCAAAGGCCAGACAGATTGACTGACAGCTGGAAAAACAAAGAACACGAGCTGCGGCCTTAAATCATGGCATGAGCACTTCTCTCGCACTCAGTCAAGTCGCAGAAGGCGACGACAGGCGCCTTTTGAATGGCTGGACACTAGTTTGGGGCGGACATTAACTTGGCGGGCTAGCATGCAAGCAGGAAATCTCAGTATTCCTATCTAGCTAGAGCTGTTTTGCAAAAGCCAAAGTCAGGCCACAAAGCGACCTCTAACTTTGACCACACTCACCAGCCAGTTCGCAGGCCCTGCTGGTCAGGTTGGCCATTTTCAGCAGCAGGTCTTGAAAGTCAGTGGCCACCACAACGTCGTCGTCAGTCTCCGTTACCAATCTTAGTTCATCTCGGTCGACACCACTGCCAATACCCACGGCTAGAACACGAACGCCTGCCTTGCGCAAGGGCTCGGAGGCCTCTCTCAAGCCTTTGGCGTCGGCTGCTGGGGTCTGGGTACCGTCAGTTATCAGCAGGGCAAGCTTAGGCACGCCCGCTCTGGCTTGTGGGAAGATGTCAGTGGCTGCTAAATCCAGCGCTCTGTCGATTCGTGTCTGGCCTCTCTCGTAAGGTAGAGCATCCACAGCTTTGGCGAACTCCTCCGTGGTCGCATACTGGCCGAATCGAGCCTGTACTGAAGCTGAGTTACTGTACAGAACCATGGCTGCTTGACTCTGGTCTGGTGCTAGGCCGAAACTCTTCGCTACTTCCTTGACAAAGTTCTTCTGTTTCAGGTAGTTTCTTTTGCCAATGCTGCCCGAAGAATCGATGATAAATGCCACATCCACAGGAGAGCTACATGGCGGTGGTGCTAATGAGACAGAAATTCAAGGCAATTAGTGTCATGCAGTTGTACTTTCTTGAGACTCGGCAAAGCTCATTCTTGTGCCAGCC